ATAATTTTGAAGTTTCCTCCAATGTTTGTAACCAGTGCCAAGGTAAATCTATTCATGTCCTTAGCTATTCATAATTCTGAAATCCCAGCTCTGAACAAAATAGAAGTTTTTTTTTGTTATTTATGGTATAAATGAGTTTCCTGACAAAACCGGATCTCAACTGATGCAAGGCTATTTATAGTCTATAATAATCTCATGTCATGTGACTATTCAGATCTATTGCTGAAGAAATATTAATATGACTGGTTAAGGGTGATGTCCCAGTGGCTGAGGTAGGTATTACAAAATCCACCATAGATAAATTTTGTATTTGTTGGAGACAGAGTCTCACAGGGGTTGGGTTAAGGAATTGAAGACCCGAACTATACTGTGAAAGTAATGTTTTTTCACTTACCTGCCAATTTTAAGCCAAAATCATTGGTCCAAAGGAGATGAGAAAACCATCAATGTATCTTCAAGCAGGCAACAGTGGCAATGACCTGGCTTGCTCTGTCCTTCAAAGAAAGTTTTCTGCATACTTTTGAGTACCCCCCAACCAAACAGCACTCTCCTCTGGCAAGGTTATTAAAAATGAAGCCAAGGCTGATTAAGAACATATTGCTTTATTTCTTGGTGGTAGTAATTTAAGGCTTTCTAGATTCATACAGCACGCAGTGATTTGAACATTAGAATTTAAAAACAAAAAAACAAAAAAAACAAAAAAACAATGAGCATTCAATTTAGCAGAGCCAGGAAGGAAGCAATGTTTTAAAACAGATAAATTTCTCAGTGAGGCCTTTGGTTTGGTCTCTAAAAATCTGCTGAGCTGTTTCCCCAGTAACCTCCACCATAGATTCCCACCCCAAGGGAGAACAGAATGGATGAAGAGGAGACTGGGAGAAAAGGAGAAACTGGCAAGACGGTATGTGTTGGGCAATCAGTGTGATCAGTCAACTTTGTCTCATGCTTGGAAGACAGTTTAGGCGATGTGGTCAGGGGTTCATTACCTGGATCTGCCAGCTCATTCTCGGAGTATTAAACTAGCTCACTTGGAAAACCCCAGGGCCAAGGATTAGGGACAATCCTTTGTGACACCCAAATCCTGAAACTTCAAATAGGGTCACAAGTCACAGAGCTGAAGAATGCTACCTTCAACTTCTTTCATGGTTCTAAACTCTGTGGCTGTCACTAGATCCTGGCCTAGCTAAATGACTCATTTCCCCCATGGCACAGAGCCTTAATTACACATGTAAGTTGATGATGTTAATTGGATGGGAGGCCATGATGTATGAAAGAAACCTCCTGGGCAGACGCCACCTCATCACACTAACCTCTCCATCCCCCACAGAAGACGCCAGTACGCACAGGAGCCTACAGTAGGAGTGCAGTTGTCAAGGGTGTCTAAGTTTGACAAATTCAGCATAACTGGCTTGGAGATGCAAAGGTTCTGCGTTTGGATAACGGGCACTTTGAGAAGGAAATAAATGAGGGATTTCAACAGTAATGAAGGCGGGGCTTGGCTAGAGAATAATTTGGGAAAGGCCCTGTGTTAATTAACAAAAGACAAGTGAATTTCGTGAAAACGAGCAATGAAATTTCTTCTGGCTATCTGACTTCAGGCAAACGAGGCTAGAATATAGACTTCTATCCAAATAAGATAATTTGAAATTTCATCCATTTAAAATTCATGCCTTGTAATGATTTTAATATTCCATTCCAAGGGTCTGGTTGGTGGACCAGAGTCTAAGTCATCTCAGTGTGTTCCCTCTTCCATTCATCTGGCATTTTTGAGTGAACAGAATTTAAACACCTGGAAGTCTGCTTTGCATTCTTTGATGGAAAACACACAGACAGCCACGGAGGAGGCACACAGGGTGGCAAGTTGCACAATTAAACACTTACAAACTTAACCCCAACAGGCTTCATGTGATGAAGTCTGGATGTATAAAGAAATAAATAGATGAGAAGAGGCCAAATGCAATCTGAATGACAAAGAACCGAGGCATCTGTCTCTGCCAGCTGTAGGACAGATGTGCCTGAAGCATGCCAGGTGTGCAAGGCGAGGGATTAGAAAAACTTTTGAAGATATGTGTTCCCTTGGGCCTTGCTTGTTAATTAGAAATTGCGAGGGCCTTTACTCCTATTTGAAAACGCTGAGTAAAAGCAACTGAGGGGGGATCTGGGCTTTGCTGTGATTAGGCGTGCTGGTGCCTGGCTAGGATGCTGTGGAGGGGGGAATGCAGAAAGTATTTGTGTACAGAAACGACACCATCCAGCCTGGCAAAAGAGGATGTGAAGAGGTGGGAGAGGAAATTATCCCACTGAAACACACAGGGAAGTGGGTGATTTGCAGCCAAAGGACATACAGGACCCTTTGTGCACTGATGCTGGCCCTGCACAATCTCCTGAAATCATGCCCATCCACAGAATCAATTCTCCTGGAAGAGGAAGATGCCTACGTGCTTCTATGCCAAGGTGGTTCTGTGTATGGGTGTCTCTGTTCCCTCAATGCTATAATGGACATGAAGCTAATCTTTGGGCTGTGTGGCCTCTGACTCGGTGCTGGAAGCTGCAGCCCAGAGCAGTGAATTGCTTTGGCCAAGGTCACAGTCATTGGCAGAGCTGGGAGAAGACTGCATGTCTTTCCCCAGCTATTTGCTGTAATGAATTTTTTTAAAAGACCTGAAAAGTATTTTGCGTATGCAAAGTGCTATGATATTGAGTTGACCAGAATGCCCATGGTTGTGGGATTGAAGAGGGTGACTTAGGTCAATGAAGCAGTTTAGAAAGGAGGTCTGGAGAGCACTGTGATTCTGATGATGGGTCCTGGCTGCTGCTCTAGGAAGGGAGGGTGTGGCCTTAGAGGGGGGGTGTGGAACTGTGGGGGTGTGGCCTGTGTGTGAGGGACAAGGCGGCCTCGGGGGCCTGAGCGGCGGAGAGTAAGCGCCTTGCTCAAGGAACTGCGATCAGCCTGCTGAAGTACATCTTTCGTGAGAAGAGAAACTTCCTACAAATGACCTGACCAAAATGCCTGTTCGCTGTTTGCCTTGCTTCGTTTCTTTGGCCTCTGTTGCCCATGAGAAATGAGGAAAAATAAAGGCCAGATTCCTAATAACCTTCCTGGAAGAAAGAGCTGTTATGAGTCGGTGTCGGTGCTTACATAAGCTGCTTTTAAAAAACATTTGCTTTGTTCAGGTTTGTGTGAATACAACGCCGGATGAACTCTGTCCCTTCAGAAGAAAGCCGGGTTGGTGTGCTCGATGACACAGCGCTTGCAGTGGCGTTTGACAAAGCGCAAGGCCTCCACGGAGACCTCGCAGTCCTGGACATTCAGCGTCTGGAGGTCAAAGCAGTTGGCGGCCACGATCTGCAAGCCCTGGCCGGTGATGCTCTCGCAGGACTTGAGGCTGAGCCGCTTGAGGTTGAAGCAGTTCAGGGCCAGGCACTCCAGGCCCGTGTCGGATACCAAAGGGCATTTGCCGATATCCAGGGACTTGAGTTTGGTGCAGTTCTTGGCGAGGTACTCCACGCCGTGGTCCGTGATGCCCTCGCAGCCCCTCGCGTTGAGGTAGCGCAGCTTGCTGCAGTACTTGGCCACGTAGCGGATGCCCACGTCTGTGACCCGGCCGCAGTGCGCGATGCTCAGGTACCGCAGGCGGGACTCCAGTTTGGCGATCTCCCGCAGGCCGAAGTCGCTGACGAAGCGGCAGTCGCTGACGCTCAGCTCCTTGATAGAGGCGCAGTAGATCACCAGGTAGCGCAGTCCCTCGTCGGTCAGGCGGACGCAGCGGCGCAGGTAGAGGTGGGTGAGCTGCGTGCAGTGTGCCGCGATGGTGTGCAGGCCTTCGTCCTCCAGCACGAAGCAGTCCGTCATGTCCAGGTAGCGGATGGATATCTGTTTGCCATGTAAGGGGGACAGTTTAATGGAGGCCTCCCGGGTCAAGCTGATGCAGGTCACTTTGGAGCACCCTGCACAAAGAGACAGAACACAGGCTCAGAGCAACCTGCGAGCAGGGGAGCCAAGCCCGGGGATTCCCTGGGGGATTCCTGACCCTCGCCCAAGTCTGGGTCCGAGGCTGACGTTACCCCTTCCTGTCTTGGTCCCTGAGAGAAGAAAAGCAAGAATGGGTTCCCCATATTTATCTGATTATTTAACTACATTATTTCTATTATCTGGGCTTAAGGGAATTGGATCAGAAAAACCACGGTTCCAATTTTCCAATTCCTGATCTGTCATCTGTCCCTACTTGCCTGATATTTAGCAAATCAATCCTTCTGAGTATTTCCTTTGTCTTAAAATAGGGAGGATCACATTCCCTGGGAGGCAGCTGGGATGGAGAAATGAGAGGATGTGTGTAAATATCTTGCCTTGGCCCTGGAAAGTTCCAGGAGCTCAGTAAAAGTGAGTTCTTGCACTGCCGTGGTTTGGAAGCTCCCTGGTCCAAAGTGAGGTATCAAAGACAAAGCTCGGGCATGTACCTTGGTTTAGCAGAAAGAGCACTGGGTTGGGAGTCACACCTGGTTCAGGCAGGAGGCTTAACGTTGCTGCTTCTCAGAACTGTCCTTTATGCAATGGGAATGAATAGGTGGTGAGCCGACATTTCAGATATAATGAGGATGCAACGAGAGAACAGATATGCATGTGCTCCGAAAACGCTATGGGAAGTGAATATATTAGTCTAGCAAGGTGACCTTCTGTCAACTGAACAGACCTTCCGAGTCAATTCAACCCTCTTTAGCTGAGGAAGAACAACTGTGTTATCTGGATTGTTGCTGTAGCCCTTGAACCAGACTCCCTTCCCTGCCCTTAGCTCCTACAGTCAATTCCCCACACCCGTCTGCCAGAGGCGTCTTGGAAAACGGAACTGGAAGCTTGCCCCTGTGCAAAGCCTCAGGATGGCGCCCGTTCACTCCAAGTGTCCTTGAACCAGACTTCCTCCCCTGCCCTTAGCTCCTACAGTCAATTCCCCACACCCCTATCTGCTAGAGGCGTCTTGGAAAATGGAACTCGAAGCTTGCCCCTGTGCAAAGCCTCGGGATGGCGCCCGTTCACTCCAAGTGTAAAATCCAGAGTCTAACAGGGCTCCCAAGGATCTGCATCCCGGGGCTCTCTGACGGCATCTTTTACCTCATTCTTCCAGCCCCACTGGCCTGCTTGCCATTTCCCGGACACCGCAAATGCTCTCCAGCCTCTGAACACTAGAAATGGCTTCCCTTAGCCCTCCCCACTTCCCTAGGTCTCAGAGCCAATCTCAGTGTATTGAAAAATTTGTCCCCAACCATGCTTGTATAAACTAGCATCCCCTGCTTCCCTTCCCTTTATTTTCAGGAGTCTTTAACCCTGGGTGGCATTATATATTTATTTATTCACTTATTTATTTGCTGTCTTCTCACTTTGGAATGTAAGTTTTGAGAAAAGGGACTTGGGGCTGTTCACTGCTGTCTCTTTCATTCCTGGTTCATAGCTGGTGCTAAGTATCTGCTGAATGAATGAGTGGTTTATAGAGGGAAAAGAGTCTTCCATAAGAGGATCAGATGAGATCATCCAGCTTCCAACATTTAAGTGTCTTCAGGACTTTGACCTTGGCTGAAGTATACCTACATTGAAAAACAGTTGTCTGTTTTATAGTTAATGATAATGTGTCTTATTTGTATTGAAACACGAAGTTCACAAAGGGCTTTTATAAACATTTTCTTACCTGATTGTTAGAACAATATTAATGCTCAGGAAGGTATCTTTAGATGCCTCTCTAAACATCGTTTCTAATCTCCTAAAAAATATGTGTGCATAAGTTATATATGTACATACTATATGTTATAATTTATATATTTATATATAATAAATGAAACACTCATTTCATGGTATATTTAAGTTCTCTATACATTACTTTATAAAAACATGTACAGTATATTTATAGTATATTAATATAACTAATAGCCACAGTCTATAAATATTAGGTTAGTGTAAAAGTAACTGCGATTTTTGCAATTAAAATGGCAAAAACCGACTGGGTGTGTTGGCTAATGCCTGTAATCCCAGCACTCTGGGAGGCCCAGGCGGGTGGATTGCTTGATCCCAGGAGTTCAAGACCAGCCTGGGCCACATGGCAAAACCCTGTCTCTACTGAAAACACAAAAATTAGATGGGCATGGTGGTGCGTGCCTATAATCCCAGCTACTCAGGAGGCTGAGGCATGAGAATTGCTTGAACTTGAGAGGCGGAGGTTGCAGAAACCAAGATCGCACCACTGCACTCCAGCCTTGGTGACAGAGCAAGACTTGATCTCAAAATAAATAAATAAATAAAAGACAAAAACTGCGATTACTTTTGTACCAACCTAATATTTTATAAATAAATGTATATTTTTATGTATTTCATTCGACTACTGAGGCTGTATATATATTTTTCATTTTCTCTCTGCTCTTCTCAAATCTCTTGGGCAGTTCTACAGCTAGGTGCCTCATTTCCGACACTTCTGCACCTTGGCTGTTTCACGCAATATCCAAGGCTTCCCAGCAGCCTCATAATAGTGCTAACGAGGACCTTCCTCCGACCTCCTGGTAGGCTGCCCAGGAAACTCTTAGGCACTCAGGTCCCGGGAATAATGAGGTTCAAAAGCCACGTGCTACCAAGTCAAAGAATTTTAGGAAGGAGTGAAGCACACACTCCAAAAATGGAGAAGAAAAACAGCTTGTCAGAGGCAGGTCACACTGTTCCAGTGGGCTTTGTGGTTTTGCAAAAGGTCCCTTTTAGCTTTGCAATTTCCCTTTGTTTGGAGTTTCTTTCTTGGGGCTGACTGTAATCCTGCTTGCACTGAATTTGTTTGTCTATAGTAGTGATTGGCCATCTGTGACACCCGTAAAGCCACTTTGTTTTTCAAGATCATATGATAACCTTCGCTCCTAAACTTTTGGTTCTAGTTTCCTTTCTTTAAAAACAAGATTAGCAAAATCTGCTACACTCCAGGGAAGATAATATATTCGGTCCAGGAAAATGTATACTTTGCTTTTGAAACTGAATTCCAAATTTAATGAAATACTTGTTCAGTTCAGTTTTGGTAAAGAGACTATTTTATAGGCTTGTATTATTTTAGATCAATAATTTTAGATTTTAAATTTTGCCCAAATTGGTTCATGGCTCAGCAGGTATTATTTATGATTAGTTCACACATTCAAACATTATAGACATGGAGAGAACCTTAGAAATCATCCAAAATAAACATCATTTTTTAAAGATGAAGCATCGCAGGCTCAGTGAGATTATATGACTTGTACAACCAGACTACAGATAAGTTTCTTGACTCCTCATTCCAAGACTTCAATTTAGAAAGGGAGGTAAGAAATGACTATGACGTATCATAGAGTTGATAAATTACACAAGAGATATACAGTAGAAAATGAAGTGAACATTCAGACACTGGGCACCCAGGGGTCTTTGGAAACTTAGAAGCCACCACAGCATGATTTCCAAAGGGGTCCTTGAAAGAGAAATAATTTGGATGCATAGATGTGGAGTGAAAAACAATTTGTATACACATTAATAGATATGGGGTCCAGGTAGTAATATAATAGACAAATTCCAGAGAAAAGAAAGCAAGGGGTAAGTCCATGGGGGGTTAGGGTATCCATGAGGTGAAACTTAGGGTGTCTGAAAGGATTTAATCAAAACCAAGGCAAGAATCATCTCTTGGGATGAGATCAGGGGCCTGCTTTGACATCTAGGGTAAGGTATATAAATATTATTCAATAGGGAATAGATAACATAGGTTGAACAAATCTGTGCGGTTTCTTCAATTAATCCCAGATTTCATTTAGCTTTCACAAATATGCTCTTTATTACCACTTCCGCTCATTATTAGGGTGATATCTCTACTTCTTCTGGGGTGTAAGATGGTTAAATCAATGAAGAACAACTCCTGACTTCCAGGCACGTTAATAACAAGGACAATACAACAATGACAATGACAGCTGTGATTTACTGAGTGCCTACTACATGGTTCTCATCAGAGCATGTGTTTGAGAACTTAACAAGTCTTAACTCACTTAATCCTCCCAACCACCTCATTTTTACTGATGAGGAATTTTTAACTGTTGCACTACAGCTTCCTAAATGCATGATTACAGTATTAACCAAAGGGAACTTTAAACATTTTAGAGGCCAAAATGACCATTTAAAACTTTGAGACGACTCTGTTCACTTAATTACAATGTCATAAAAGTGCAAAAATGAAAGATGACATATTTCCGCCCTTATAAAGCTCAAAGCTCATCATGAGTTGAGAATTGCAAGTCCATCAATGCTCTAGCTTTCTGTACCCAAAAGGCAGACACCCAGAAAAAAAACCCTTAGCTCACTGGGGGCGAGGCAGGGAAGGCTACATTCAGGGGATGCCTGACTGGAGGTTAAGCAATGAAAAGTCTGTTCAGAGAGTTCTCAAGGGAGGGGCAGTAGGCAGGGAAGGAAGAGGCACACAAGCCAGACAGGCATGCACACATCACTGTATGTAGAGACAGGATGTGTTTGGGGACATGCAGATAAGATGGTTCTACAGAAGGGATCATTGAGTGTATGCAGGAAAGAGATGAAATTTGCACCTAAGAAGAGCATCTTATGAAGGCTGTTACGTGCTCTGTGGAGGAACTTGAATTTTTCCTGTAGGTCATAGGGAGCAATTATTGGAGGTTTCATGCAGGACAGCGAATGGTTAGACTTGTAGTTTGAAACAATTCCTCTGGAGGCAATGGAGATGGGTATAAGAAGGAATGGTTGGGGAATCCTGCATCCAGGCAGGCAGACAGAGATGGACTCAAGGTACTGGGGAAATAGAGTCACCCGAACAGGATTCTACTGGTTGGGTAGGATTAGGAGGATAAACAAGGATGATTCCAGGTCTCCAGTTAGAAAGGTTCTTTCTGAAGCAATATTATTTTTAACACTTAAGACATTTTATATTTTGAAAATTGGTTGAACAAACCTATGGGGCTTCTTCAGTTAATTCCAGATTTCATGCAGCTTTCACAAATACGTTCTTTATTATCAATTCCTCTCGTTATTGCAATATATTCATCAATATAGTGCATTGATGTTTAATGCTACTATTAATAAAAGGTAATATGTGATAATGACAAAACAATACAGTTGTAGTCATTTTCAGTGACTTTAAAGATAGCTTCCCAGATGACCATTTTCTGCATGCTAGGGATGGGATAGGCAGTCTCATCTCCTTTGGGAGAATTAAGCTCCAGATCAGTGATGAGTCTTCCAAAGTCAAGTTTACTGCCACTGAGAACGTGGCCACTATCAGAGCCCAGCTGTAAAACTAAAGAGAACCAGGCATAATGAAATCAACTGTGGTAGCTCTCTGGCCTCTCTGCATCAACATAACAATTTCCAGATGCCCCCAGAACAGGAGGCCACCCTTAGTAGGTGCTGATGACAAATCCATCCTCATGGCCTGTTGAGTCTTTCAAGACCATCTATCTGAAACTTTCTCCCATATGTGGGATTCTGTGTTCTTAAGTTGGTGAGCTGCAGATTCCCCTCATTTTTATCTCTGTGTATACAGATCACTATTGTCATTGAGAGACATGAGGGGAGGCGACACAAATATATTTGAACTTTCAAAGTAAGCAGGTTAACATACAGGACAGATATCAAGGCTTAATAATGGTTAGTTAAGGGGCCAGGCAGGATCACACAGGCTAGAAATGCAAGAATTTCCATCCCAAATAGCAAAAGTGGTTTCTGCATTTCTGAACTTCAAAAGGACCCTCCAAAAGAGGGTACAATCACTTGCAGCCTGTATTAAGAGTGCATGGGAAGCACCTTTAACAAAGATAGAGATTCCAAAAATGAATCATTTTCTAATCTAAGAAAAGAAAATAAAATGAAATGTTTATAAAATGCTCCAATTCTTAGATGTTAAAGAACCCAGTCCTTTGTCATTTTTTTTTTAAATGAAGAGGAAACACATCTAGAAAAAGCTGTGAATTTTCCTAAATCACAAAGTTTTGAAACTTGTTTCCACCACATCACAACATTTTCTCTTTCCAGAATTCCTTGGAGGAAAAATGTAAGAAAACCTCGTGGTTTCCTGCT